GGGGGGGGGTTGGAGATACCAGATACCAGCTAAGGTATGTAAGATACGTATAACGAAATCTAGTGATTGTTTTCATTGTCTTGAAAGTGACGGTCGACTCAAATTTCGCCTCAAATGGCCTGAAGCACCCAAAGTCGCGCATTTAGAAGCCAGAAATTCTCAGGAGCGGAACTTGGCAGCTGCAGTGGCTGTCACCAACGAGCCGATCATGTGAGAGGTCAAGTAATTTGAACTGTTCGATCTAACGAGCTTCGTTTAGCAGTAAGAGAGCATGGCGCAACGAGATGAACGTGACGGATGGCGAAGATGTGCATTGGTTGCATTTCGATTACGAACCTCAGTGATGCACAGCGATCGACTACTGCGGCTGCTTCGCGATCTTTATCGACTGCTCCGTGCAGAACGGTATTCAAAGCATGTTGTGTTTTTGGTTTTCTTCAACCTGTGTGATCGTGCGTAGTAGAGGGCGGTAACGCCTTGTTGATAACCTAAAAGGGGCGGTTTTGAAGAATGTTTCCGTATATTTCATGCTGTATTAGGAAACGGTGTTTTACCGGCATACGACCCAAGGGCGTTGGAGATAATCATGTTAAGATATATCCAAAAATTGAGTATTTGTCTAGTACATTTGCTCGAATAATCGTAAATGTTCTTTTAATTATATTTCAACTTTTCTTCTAAATATCTGCTTAAGTGCACAAATTGCGAGTCCAGAAATCTGCTACGATCAAGTATGACGTAAAGAGCGTGAATGTGTTGCAGTTGTTGGCTGTCGCAGTGATTCACGGTAATTTCTTAATATCCTCTTTCTTTTTCTCCTTGACTATTTGATCTCGTTTCTGTACCTGATCCCAGATCTTACTGGTCATCGCCTGATGATTTTCCGGCGTTTGATGTTGGGCTATGATCCAGCAGCTGTCCTCTTTTGACGAAGGTTCCTCGTTGCAGCGGACATTAGCGAAAAACAGCTTTCTTATGGGTGCACGCAGTTTCCTGACTTTGCTTTTCAAGCTGTGACTGGAATTGATAAGGATCAGCGGTTGTAAAGTTCCGTCCATTAGTCGTATGAACAAAATACTAATGATGAGATAGATGCGCCTCATTTTCCACTCATTGGTTTGGTATAGTAAACTGCTTGCCATCGACAGACACAAGATCAGCACCAAGATCAGCGTGTGTACGATCGCCCATGGTAGTATGATTTTGGTGTAGGTGGCCGTGTGCCATAGCGACATGCGTTGGTGCAAACAGTTGTGGTTGTCGTCTCGGATGTTGACGTCGAGTACCTTTCTTCTGCTGCTGCGGTATACGTAGAGGAAAACGATCACTGCCAGCAACAGTAGCACCAGTTCCGATACGTATTTGAGACAGAGGGTGAAGTAGCTGGCGGAGAGGATGAAGGTACAGAAACAGTTGCTTTTGCTGGTGATCGAACTCCACTTGATGAACGCTGTCCAGACAATGGCATTTTCCAACCATGCAACAACCAGCAGCGAAGCGACTAGGATCCGGCCATTCAGGCGCTCACCCTTGGCGCATACGTTTATCGACAGGACGATGGCCATCAGGGCGATCAAACTCATGTGCATTGACGAGATGAACATCTTCGAGTACATGGACCAGCGACAGTACTGCGCTTCAGAAAAATCCTGAGACGGTGAGCTCAGTACCTTGACGTTGTAGATAGCACTGAAGAACTGACAGAGCCCGTAGAGCATGCCACAGATTGCGATATTCACCAGGAAGACCTTCACCCAGCGTTCGGTCCTTTCGTGCCAGCAGAGCAGTTTCAAGTAAAAGGCGTTGTAGCCAACTGTGGCGATCGACAACATGATCAGCATCGCCATCAACACGTACAGTACCGTATAATCGACTATGGCCGAACAGTTATTGTCGAATGTCGACGTTCCGACCGAATTGTTGGTCGCTGTATCGTTTTGGGACATGTCTGCTAGTGATCAACACCGGGGACGAACGACTGGCTCTGCTAGAGACTTGGTTTGTCGTCAGGTGGCAACCTAACAATAATTGCAGAAAGTCGGACGAATCCGTTGCGTTCCCTAGTGCAGCCTGCAAAAATCAGGTGATTCATTATCACAGCGAATTGTTCATGTTAAGTCACGCATTGAGTTATTGCTTCTGCATCAGAAACGTTCCTTGACAAATATCCGTGACTATGCTTGGGCATTAATGGCCTTCATATCGTTTAGCAGGGAATACGCAGGTCTTACAAGTTCGTTGCATCCATAAGCTATGTGCTACTGAAGTAGCTCCCTGGCGGAGAAATACGACTACACGTTACACAAAGGCAGCTACCTGTTGCCTTAGAAAATAAAACATTCTCGCCTGTAGATCAACTGCACGGCACATATGAGATGAAAGAAGGATGCCCTTAGTAGAAATCACCACGAAAAATGTAGATCGACTGATTTCACAACGATTGCAAGCTGTCTCTTTCCTTCGTCATATAGGTATCCTCGAAGCGTTACCGGAATTCTCCCGTTTAAATGTATATGCTTTATAAGGTCGAATATTAGGATTATCAGTTTTTCAACTCCACATGTCGTACTCCACCAGATGGTTAGTAGCCTGATCTTTCAGGGATAAATTTTGATGTTAGCCATTT